CGTGGCGCCGCTCCAGCCCTTCCTGCAGGTGACGCGGGCGGCCCTGCAGCGGTGAGTGCCCGGGGCGGCGGGGAACGCGCTGCTGAGCCTTAGCAAACCAACAGCAGTGGTGGCAAAGTGGCCAGAGAAGCAGCTGGGACATCGGACCAGCCAGACCGACAGGGACACATTCAGAGCAGCCTAACACTCACTTTCACAATGGTTTTGCTGATTGTTAACTGCTTATGTCTCCCTTCTTTACCGTGTTTTAATACTCGGAATCATCACCTTTCACCCTCTACACACCGAAAGGAAACCCAGCCAGGCACTGACACTCGTCCAGACCGAGTCCCCAGAACCTGCAGTTCCACCTCAGATGCTGTGCACACCCGCAGGAGGAGCGTCCTGTGCTCTCCACCAGCCCAGAGCTGCCAGTCCAGCTACAGCTCAGGCTCTGCTGTGTGGAAAGGCAGTTGGGGGGTACTAAACTCTCAGTGAGAAGCTAAATTTACTTTACTGCAATAACATTACATCGGGGCTTTTTTCCTCAAATATCCATAGTTCCAGCTGGGGCTAAGCTTTAGGATACAGGATGTGGTGAGTCTGCTTCCTCCTGAGAAAAGGGGTCATGCTTTGTCACTGCATTTGAAGTGGCTGCTGTGGGTCTATATTAAAGGGTTCATTTGTCACTAAAATGTAGGGATTATACCAAGACTGGTCTGCAGAACTAGCAGGCAAAAACCTGACTAAGGAAGGACTATGTGGCAAGCAGAGGAAAAGCTGCTTATACTCATCTTACAGCAGATTTATTTACTTTTCTAAAGCCTTGTGGAGGGTTTGATTGACCTAAGAGGAGTCCCTGGCTGAGGCCCAGGGCTCACTGTTTAAACTTTAATGGAGGAATGACTTTTAGCCTGTTAAAGATCAGTCCTGGTAGAAATGTGACAATGCAGGAGTGCACCTCCCCCCTGCACACTAAATATCTGACAAACATGGATGGTTTATTGCTGAAAGCATGCCTAATCATTCTTGCTAGCTGGCTATTTGGCATTTCTGTGTTCTAGAGTATAACCAGTATTTCCAAGGCACCAGTAGCACTTGTCCGCTGCTGTCACCCAAAACAACTCCTCTCTGGCCTGGGCTGGAACCACTCTGTAACTTCTAAATTTGATTTATTTGTAGGTCTCTTGATGTGAATTTTGGGGCTGTGCTTCATGTTTCCCAGGTGAGGAAGAATTGTCACAGTAGTTGTCTCCATGAACAACAATGACTGAGTTGTTTTGCACAGCAGATAAGTGTCCACTGTGGGAGCCAAAGGGACTGTAATCCAAAATTAACCTGACAATTCGTGCATACAGCCCCTTCAGTCTCTTGCTTTGACTTTCTCTTGTCAATGGGAGGTAGTGAGGACTTCCTTCATCCACATGTTTTTGCTGTTTTGGCTACATAATGGCCCAGCAAGATTCTTACTGGGTGAAATGATGATTTCTCCTGCTATGATTGTCATCTCTGTTTTTTCCTCTCCCAGATTGTTGCTCGGCAGATGATTGCACAGGGGGTGCCAGGTGCTATTGTCAATGTCTCTAGCCAGGCATCTCAGCGTGCGCTGCGGGATCATGCTGTTTACTGTAAGCATGTGTGGCTTTAGTGGTGCCCCTCATTTTGACTAGCTGGAAACCCACAGCTACCAAGCTGCTGGCTGCCAGGTCTAGGCAGTGAAAAACTTCTGCATGTTCCACAACAAATGCTATGCACTTAAGTGCCTCCTGTTTTTCCCTTCTCTTGAAGGTTCCACAAAAAGTGCTGTGGATATGCTGACCAAGGTAATGGCAATGGAACTGGGACCCCACAAGGTAGGATTCTTCCTGAGAGAAAGAAAAGTGTGGAAGATTGAGCATTTCCTCTCACAGCAGCCTAGATTGTTTGTTGCTCTTGGTCCCAGATTAGGGTGAACACTGTGAACCCCACAGTGGTTATGACCGACATGGGGAAAATTAACTGGAGTGACCCTCAGAAATCTGCTGCCATGATTAATCGGATTCCACTGGGAAAGTTTGCAGGTTAGTGGTGTAGATTTGTTGCCAGGCTAGGCTCTATTGTATCCAAGACTTCCCTCTAATGGACATCACGGCCATAGGTACCTTGCTGCTTTTGTGGGCAAGGTCACAACTCTGCTGAATGGCTGTGCTTGAATTCCTGCAGCGTTTGATAAGGACAGACCTCCCCTCTTCCACAGCCTTAGGACACCTTAGGACAAGTGAGATGCACTTACTCTACTGTTCATAAATTTGACTGGGAGGGGAGCACAGGTGCTTGCTGTGAACAATTTGATCACAACAGGGACTTTGATGTCCAGCTCTCAGCCACATGGTCCCATATACAGCACCAAGCACAGGCTGGGGGAGGAGGTATTTCCTGCTTCAATTACATGTAGAGGCCAAAGATAAACCTTTTGGGATGCTTGATTTTCTAGTACAGTTTGGGGGGTGCATAGGATGTTCTCTGTGTTTATTTCCAGAGGTGGATGATGTGGTGAACAGCATTCTCTTCCTGCTG